CCCGCCGCTCTGCCGGGCCGAGGGCGGCGGGCCTGGGGCGCGGGAAGAGGCGGGACGGCGTTGCCCCCGCGCTGTCGGGCGGCTCGGGGCGCTCCGGTCGCTTCTTCTGAAGGGGGGGGGCGCGGGTGGCCTTTCCCGCCCCGAGGAACAGCCGGCCGTACCTGGGAACGGAGCGGGAAAGCTGGTTTTTCTAACCAACGACTCCTGCAGCTTATCTCTATCCCCTCAGCCGTAAAAAATGAAGGAAAAAAAAGAGAAAAAATGGTCAGAAAACTAAAGACAGTGGTAATTTCACACTTTTCTTAAGCCAGGAGGAGCTCTCTCACGTTCCCCTGTAGGTGACGCCAGGTGGTGCAGCGAGCATGATGTAAATTCTTCTTTTTCAAAATGTTTTTGAAAGGAGTAACGGCAAACGCGCGTGACGAGCGCGTGATGAGCGCTTCCGTTTGACAGGTGTCGTTCCGTGCCTGCCACTGGCGTCCCAAGAGGTTGTGCGGTTTTATTCGAACTGTAGAAGTTTGATGTAATAAAACGCGTTCTCCCTCTACAAATCTGGACTTGCTCGTGCACAAATTGGAACGGCTTTTTGTACGGATGCGTGTATGAGCCCAGCACGGCGGACTGTGGCAGAGTATCCAGGCTCAGTTGGCAGCGCAAGGGAATTGCTGATGATAGCGCGGCTCTCCGGGCAGACTTATTTATCGTGGGGTGACCCGATACGTGTTACGCTACGTGACGCCAAGCTGGACTACGCCTGCAGCAGAACGGGCAACACAGAGGGGGGCCTAGAGCAGCGCCCCGGTTGTGTGAAAACTGGTAGTTCGCGGCTGCACGCCAATACAGGTCTGAAGGCTTCGCTGCTCTTTGTGTCGGAAGATTGTCTTTGTACTGGCTAACAGTTTGAACTTCAGGGAATTTGTGAAGTGTAAAAACGTTACCTGCTAATCTACAAGTGTATTTGGTTTTAAATTAAAATGCTTTTGAAAGCATAAACATTCATTTTTAGGAGACAATAACTAGATGTTTTGAATATTTTGAGCATAAAATCCTTAAAATGTTTGTTATAGATGTGACAGCTGAGGCAGTAGGTGTAGCTATCGCTGCACCTCCGTCAGAAGGGGAGGCAAACGCAGAGCTGTGTCGCTACCTCTCTAAGGTGCTAGAAGTGAAGAAGAGTGAAGTTATTTTAGAGAAGGTACTTCCTTTTTTTTTTCCTTTCAGTCTTGCCCTTCTGCAATTTAAATTCAAGGTTATCATAGAATCATTGAGGTTGGAAAAGACCTCTAAGATCATCGAGTCCAACCGTC